GTTTAATTCTCTGTGGTTGGGGAAGGTTAGGGTTAATTACTGTACTGCCTGACACTACCCAAGTACCCTACTCCAGGTTCTCTGAATTCCCCAGTGAATACATACAATGTAATGCAACATAGTACAGGTGCGAAACAGGTGAGTAACATCCTAACCTGAGGCTTTCATGAATGCCGGCACGTCCAAGGAAGACGTCAGTTTAGTGTCGAGGTCCTTCATCGCTCCTTCCCAGTCCTTCTTCATGACATCTAAGTGGGAGGCTGCAACCTGCCAACATGGACAAGAATATCACTGTCATATCAAACGGGGTTGGGTTACATGTATATCGGGCAGTAGACCTCATTCACAATGGAAGACATGTTTGATCAGGTTCCATGTATCTATCTTATTCGATGCAATGTGTCCAACAGGGTGGTGCCAGACTATTCTGGGTTTGGTGTCTCACTTTCACATTTTCAGCATTGTTTAAATCATATAGATATGTGAAACCACAAATTGTTAATTATTATTTCCTTGTAAATGAAATTAATTTATACTGAACTTTTGTTTCATTGCTTCCGTTTTATTCTTAGGTTCCCAATTTAAAAAATGTAGCCTCGCTTTCAATTCAATATGGCTGACTTGGGAATAAGGCCAATTCTTCAATCTCCTTCCAGCAGAATAAAATATTAAATACATTTCAAAAGTAGCAGGGAATGCCATCCACGCCAAAACTACTTGCTAAACAGGTTACCCAACCAAAGTGCCATACAAAGTGTACTACTTGAGACTGGTTTCCCGCTCATTTTTGCTTAGCACAAATGGAACGGCTCCATGGAATAGGTTTTTCAGGCTGCTTATCAGGAAACTGGTACAGTGTGACTGCTACGTTTGACGTACAAACGGAATGGAATCTGACCTTGTTGTTAGGATTCATCAGGACGATGCGAGCAGCAGAGATGACCTGTGGAGTCAATTCCTTCACCTGTTGGAGAAATGATATCAGGGATGCGATTGGAGGAGGGAGACAGCAAACCTGGGAGAGGTCACCGTGACAACAATAAAATACACTGACAATTTGTGGAGAAAAGTTACCAACAAAACTTGAAGGGTACTGACAGACAAAGACGAGATTTAATTTGTTTCAAGTAAAATCAATCATCTCTCTAAATATCTATGAAATAAAAAATCAAACACTGGAATTTAACATTTGTTTGCAATTTCAGAAAAACTATTTCTTTTTTTAACCCAAAACGGTGTGGTGAGGAGAAGTTGGTCCTAGGAGGCAGGCAGTACCAACCTGATTGCTGAGACGATGGATCTGATCTACTGTGTCCCTGTCGGCATCTGCGATACCGGCAAAACGAGCCGCTGTGTCTGCCGCCTTGTTGCTGCTCTCAAGGAATATCTGCGCTTTGCTGGTGAAGTTGGCCTCCCGATGTGGGGTTCCTAGAGGATAGAATCAAACATGGGGGATAACAAATCAGAGAGAGTCTCAGACAAAAAAAATACAAATTTCTTAATAAAGAAGCACCAGGGCTTAGTCTTGCATGGAGTAGTGATCCAATCACTAGTCGTCACAAGTCCACCACAAGTTATCTCCACCAATCATAAGCTAATCATATTGTTAAACAGAAGCCAATCTTTAAGTCCATCACAAGTTATCTCAACTAATCATAAGCCAATCATAATTTAAACAGAAGCCAATTATAAGTCCATCACAAGTTATCTCAACTAATCATAAGCCAATCATAATTTAAACAGAAGCCAATTATAAGTCAATCATAAGTTATCTCAACTAATCATAAGTCAATCATAAGTTCATCAGACGTCATTACTGGTTCTCACAAGCCAGACACAAGCCAACCACAAGACAATCAGAAACCAATCACAAACTGTCACACACCTGTCTTGGAAACATACCTTCAGGAACCAGTGCAGCTTCATACAACTTGTTGACAGCGGACATTGGGTCCAAGAAATCCGACGACACCTGACCCATCACGATCTCGGTCATTTTCTCGTTCAACTGACCAAGCTTTTCTGACAACTTTTTGGCAGCAGCTTCAGCCTGTGGAGTGTTACCCTAGAAACCAAACCAAAATGCATGCCGTATGAGATTCCAAAATTGACAGAAGGACCATAGTGCCACTTTTGTCACAGTGAACTATTACGAGCGTGATACCTACCTGTCCCTTGTTACACAGGTCCTTCAGGTGGTCATTCAGAGTTTCCGTCTCATTGCAAAGACGCAGAAGGTCATTACGCTGACCCAGGTCATCACAGGTGCCCGCGATCTGGCGTCCAGTGGTAATGATGTCTTTGATAGCACGATAACCTTCAAGAAGGAGAACATACAGAGATACAAGAAGCCAACTGCAGTGACAAGTGGATGATGACAGACAAAGATTTTCTTTCCATGGCAACATGGGGAGTCGGGTTGGCATGGTGGTTCTTTCCTCGCCTTTCACCTCTGCGGTCAGGTCTCAATTCCTGGCTCGGTCCACATGTGGATTGGGTTTTCAGTCCCTGATTCCGTGGGTTTTATCCAGAATATTCCTCTGGGGTTTTCCTCCAACCTCTAGAACTGTAACTGCTTCTCACTGTCTTCTCTCTACAGGTTTCTTCAGGCTTGTGAGCAACAGTGGCTGTAGGAATCCTTAGTTCCCTTACATTAAACAGGATTCCAAACTATTGCCATAGTTGGGCGATATCATGAAAGACCAAACTAGGTACACTATCATATAAAACACCATAGTTGGAACAATATTCAATAGAACACCCATTACTATATCTATCTGTGAAGGACACTACAGACGTTGCTTACCGACTCCTTTATCATCTGCTCCAGGGTTGTTCAACCATTCCTTAGCCTGGGCTAGCTTGCCACCAGCAGTGTATGCCATCTTGCCCATGCTACTCTTTAAGATCTCAGCAATCGCAGCGTTGATCTGGTTCTCCAGATTCAGCAGCTTACCGTCGATAGCCTTGGCGAGCTCCAACGCTCGAGGACTGTTACCCTGTACAGGCGAAATCATTTCATTGTTGGACAGAGAAAAATTCAATTTACTGTCGTGTTAGTTACAATATCTCACACAAAAAAAGATTGGGAAGACAATTTAATAGATCAACCACCCTCGGAATGTTTGATGAGAAATGTGAGCCAACACAACAATATGAGCCATAAGTCACTGGAACCAGTTTTGAATGAAAGGCTTTTCAGAGAATCTTGTAACGTGTAAATCAACGGGAACCCTCAACCTTTGTCAGCAATATAGAGAGTTGAGAGTACACACGAGTGTCTCAATTGTTGGAACCAAAATGGTGGAATATTCGTCCGTACGCATAGATAATTAGCACGCAATAGCTGCATGCTGGACTGCACACACAAAGAACAGCCATTTTGGTTGCCAAAGTCCAAAGCTGGTGATCCTCTCTCAACAGATTTGCTCTGGGTATGATCTTGCCAGTTCTGAGAGCCTGTTTGTCTCACGAGGATCCAGATTATAATCAGTTGGTTCACTGACACCAGAACCCATCAAATTGATAGCGCACACCTGCTTTGGGATCACCAATTGCAATCCAGATCCGTATGAAACAAACAGGGCTGGAATGTAGCCACATATCTGCATGTCCCTAGTGATAACTGCCTCACCTGTCCCTTTGCTCGGAGGTCTGAGAGTTCATTGGTCATGGCAGTGATTTCATCAATAGCTTGCTCTATGGCTGCCTTCTGGGGGCCATCCAGGCCACTAGCTACCTTCTTAGCATCTTCCAGGATGCGTCGTACCGCCTTCTCACCTACACAATGCAGAGAAATTGATTTATTCCCTTGAATCATCTTTGATCACAGGTAACGGCCGGTTCATACTTCATGCGAAAACGAACACCAACACAAATTTGTGATGTCAGATGAAATATTCGCATTGCGAATTCATCAGAGTTGAACACATTCCAACTCGAGCAAAATTTCGCTGCAAAGTTTTCGTGACGCAATTGGTAGGATTTCACACTGGCTCAGTCAGGGCAAGATCTGTGCACACAGATTGACCAATCAGGACCAAGAATTTGTTAGAGGATACTCACCCATGCCCCCAGCCAGTGCATTAGGATCAGCTAATCAGACCATGTATTACATCATTCTGCTGTCATCACAGATTGACCAATCAGAACCAAGGATTTGATAGGGGATACTCACCCATGCCCCCAGCCAGTGCATTAGGATCAGCTAATCAGACCATGTATTACATCATTCTGCTGTCATCACAGATTGACCAATCAGAACCAAGGATTTGATAGGGGATACTCACCCATGCCCCCAGCCAGTGCATTAGGATCAGCTAATCAGACCATATATTACATCATTCTGCTGTCATCACAGATTGACCAATCAGAACCAAGGATTTGACAGGGGATACTCACCCATGCCCCCAGCAAGTGCATTAGGATCAGCTAATCAGACCATATATTACATCATTCTGCTGTCATCACAGATTGACCAATCAGAACCAAGGATTTGATAGGGGATACTCACCCATGCCCCCAGCCAGTGCATTAGGATCAGCTAATCAGACCATATATTACATCATTCTGCTGTCATCACAAATTGACCAATCAGAACCAAGGATTTGATAGGGGATACTCACCCATGCCCCCAGCCAGTGCATTGGGATCAGCCAGCCACCCTCTTGCCTTGTCCATGTTGTTCTTAATGTGATTCTGAGCCGCGCGCAGCCCGGTCACATTATCCACTCGGAAACTGTCGTCATCCTAACAAGCAAAATATTCAACTTGTATTCGTTCCTGGATCCATGGTTAAAACAGTAAGTCTTTCTTTTCTGTGCTCTGCCACGCAACAAAGCTCATCAAAGTGACTGAATGAAGAAAAAAGTGATTTAAAGATGATTTGCGACAAAAGATGTTTTGGAAAACTACGAGCCTGAAATTAGACAAACATTTCAAACGAAAAGCCTGAAATCAGGCCATAGCCTGAAAACTGGCACCCTGCGAAGTTGCCATGGTACCTACTTCCATCCGTTGTCCAAGATGGACAATACAACCATGAGTTAGACTGGCTTCCTTTTCTGTTGTTACCCCTTTTCGGTCTCTCCCTGTGGGTTTAACGAGCGACTTCCGTCAAAGGTATTCAATGAGCTTACCACTGCCTGAAGCACCCTGATGATTTCTTGGATGTGGTAGATCATCTTACTGGCCACGTAGGTCCGATTCTCCCAAGCTTCCTGTTTACCCGGCTTCCCTGCCAGCCAACAAATCAAACAACGCATCAGTCACAGGAGATGGCATTCCTATTACGTTTCTGAAAGGCAAGACAAACTTCCAACAGGAAGCAATGCCAGGGTCTCTTACAGAATATAAATACGGAGGAAATTCATCCGTCTTGCAGGAAATGAATCCTGTCCTTGGAGTTTAACTTTTCAATTAATGCGAACTTTTTTTTTCAACATGAAAAGTTGCCGAAGTAAGGTGCGGAATGCTGTGCCTTTGGGACCTTCTGAAGCAGACATCATGCATTTAAGTAAACACAAACAGTGTTGTGGACGAGACCTCTCAAGACCATCACCAGACCTCTCAAGACCATCACCAGACCCCACAAGACCATCACCAGACCTCTCAAGACCATCACCAGACCCCACAAGACCAAGATAAGACCTCAAGTCTTGATTCAAGTCACAAGTTATTCAAGTGAATTGCAACAAAAGCAAGTCTTTGTAACTGTCCAACCTGTGACTCATGACTGGCCTTGTGACTGGTCTTGTGCCTGGTCTTGTGACTGGTCTTGTGCCTGGTCTTGTGATGTCTCGACTACAACACTGGACATAACTGGAACGCAACTGGACAAGTTCAAGTGACAACCACAGTTCATCACAGTTCAACTGCCGTCATGTGACAAATGGACCATTTGGACCGTTCAGTCTTTCAGTTTTAGCCACTGCAATAAGTGACCAATGGCACCACAACATCCAACAGACATAGCAAGCAAGATTGTAGAACCCACCTTGGTCAAGGATGGCGACGTAGATTTTCATACTAGAGACCAACAGCGGGATAAGTCTCTGAAACTGCTCCAGGTGCTGGGCGAGCTGCGCGGCATGCGAAGCGTTGATTAGCTCCTCCCGACGGGCTGCCACCTGACTGTTCATGTTGGTCACCACAGGGGTCAAGCTCTACCCCCCCAAAAAAATCAGTTATCGATCAAATCATAAAGATTGCAAGAATTGATAGGAATGGTTCAAATGACCACTAAACTTGGAAGGTTCGAATCCACTGAAATCCTGATGTTTGCTGGGTCAAAGTCGACGCACAGCAACTATATTACATAGTGAACACAAATTTGGCCACATCTTTGTTCAAATTTATACATTATGATTAAATAAAGGCAAAGTCTCACCTGAACAAAGGTGAGAATATCTGCCATGGTGTCCACGACCTCTGACACTGCCAATAACTGCAAGACGCCCTCACAGATCTTGACAATCTTACGCACCTCGCTCTCATCAAAGACAAACAAGAGCTCAGAGGTGCCTTGCAAGATACCTGGATAATATATACACACAAACGATGAGACTCCACGTCTGCCTTGAGCAGAAGCACCCCCTCATTGGTTGAAAAGAGCCATGTTGGTGGGTAGTCTTCCTTTATGGGTAGCGACATGATCATATTGTGTGCATTTTACAGTTCTTTGTGAACCAGCAAAGTGCAGTTCCCACCAAAGTATGAACCTGCCTTGAGGCTTTGTGAAATGTTCCTATGTTATTATTGGAACTGGAGCCAATCCTCTGAGGCTGTGTCCAAAATACAAGGCTGTGACTTGCAATTACATTCAACTCTATGGGGAATGGCTGGAGCCACATCCATAGACTCGTGCATAATGTTAAGCTGCAGCCAAGTAATTGGAACATAGTCTGTCCACGTATACCCACCTCTGGCCCCATCAATCAGCTTCTTCCTGGCCGGTACGGAGTACGGGTCCTGTTTGAGCATGTCGCTGGCCTCCACCAGCAGACCCGACGACTTCTCCACCTTGATGAACGTCGGGGGCATTTCCCGACGCAGAATCTCATCTTTGCTGGTGCTTGCTGTTTGCTTGCCAACCTAGTGGGATCAGAGCAAAGCACACCTAAGAATTTGTCCAAACGTACTGGCTGTGGCTAGGAATCACACATGCGCCTATGAAAGCCACATAGTAGTGGCTACAGCAATGTCACATGGACATGTGTGATCCTGTCAGCCATAGCCATGAGTATTTTTCTCTGCCTATGGGTGAGACACTATTTAATTTGGTCAACAGTGTTGTAACTCTCTCATGTAGCTTTGAGTCCTAGATACTGTCATTATCATGTAAATCTAACACATTATACCAGTAAATATTCATCAGTTCTGGAGACGCTCGGTACATGTAACAAAACAGGAAAGGAGCCTACATTGAGACAACGTGTACAGATTGAAGAATCTTGAAGACTTGGCTTTCAAAGATGAAAACTGATTAGTTGAATTGAATCAACCAAATCAATCCAAATCAAACACTACAGTGTTCCACTTACGACAACCAAATTGCTGACAGCCTGATCTACAATCTTGATGGGCGAGGTCAGATCAGTCATAGCGTTCCCATCTTCAGCTTGTTCGTGGAGGATCACCAGCTGACCAACCTGTGCACAGGTGTAAAAATGGAATCAGTTTGGCGCAGCACTTTCTGACCTTGCTTTCTAACTCCACGGCCCGAGGTTCGAATCCCGCAGGGTGGCATGTCGATTGGGTTTTCAGTCCCTACCTAATTACTTGGGTTTTCCTCCCACATCCAACAATGAATATTAATGTTTACTATTAGATGAATGTGAATTTAAGGCATAAAAATTAAGTAATGCATTATTGCAGATTCCAATTATGTTACCAAAAATGTAAATTTCCCTTTCAGCTGTAATGCATTAGTAGGACCGTGATCAGTGTTTGATAACTACCCTCTATGGTTGAAAGCGGTACATGACGTAAAATATGAATCAAAGCCAGAGCAAAATAGACATCAAAAGTTCTTGGCTATTCTCAACTTGTAGTCTCCTTTTTCAGGAAACAAGGTCAACTATTAAAAATGCATTTTCAATTTAGCTAAACATCTCACAAGTGCACCAAAATCATTAGTCTTTGTAACGGACAACACAAACAACGACAATAGCATCTCTGAATCGATCCCGCCCTCTGCATGGAATTTGAAAAGTCAGGAAGGAAGGCTCAGTGAAAAACTGTGGAGGAAATGTGCGCCACTGATTCAACAAAGTCCTTGGCACTCACAGAAATAATATTATTGTACTTTTACCGCCGACATGAGTTCACATGACAGAAAAATGAGAAACTGTTTAACCGACAGTTTCATCCAGGAAGTTGTTCACAAAATGGGTCTGTAAGCTTGTTGAAATAGTAACCGATACTCATAAATACCATCCTAAAAATCACATTCACTTCCAGTATCATTTGCTGTTTAGATAATAAGGTCAGTCATTGTTGGTTTTGTTTGGACAAACATGGAAAATGGTTGCAAAATGTGTGATGTCTGGCCAGATGTGATTTCAATTTCCACAAGTACGGTGCAAGTTGGTATTGTTTGGACAAATATGGTTAAAGATCGCAAAATGTCTGACGTCAGTTGACTGAACATGTGTAATTCCACTTTCAATGAAATGTCAATGTGAACAAGAACGTGAATTTTTTCACAAAATTTCCCATTCAGTGTAAACTTTAAACTGGTACTCAGCACTGGATAACCGGCAGCAAATACCGACATGTTGTACGTCCATAGTTTCCATACGTACATGTACATAAAAACGCTGTGTCTTTGCTACAAGGTCCTTGCTGAAAAATTGCACTAAAAGGTCTTCATTGAAAAATACTGTTTTAACATAAAATCAGGAAAAAAAAATTTGTTGAAATTGAAATACATGTACATTAGACCCAGAAAACTAGTTTAATACTTAAAAGTAAAACAAATGTACTCTGTTTTGGAATAAATTTTCTTTTATGCTCAGAATAAGGCCCTCAGAGTAGTTTCAAAAATGATGTTGCTGTAACGACCTTTTAGCACTGACCCAACGAAAATATCCTACAGATCTCAATTTGACAATTTTCACGAGTTTCATCAATTTTTGTGCCACGTAAATGTACACACATGAATGTATTTCATTTTAACCCCAACAGTCCCAAATCCTCCAATTTCAATATGATTTTATATCCACCCTAGGGGGTTAGGGTTAATGATAAAGGGATGCTAATGTACATGTACAGTGTATCAACAAACACGGCCACCACAGTAAACCACAGTCCTAGTAAGCACTACTGCAGATGTACCACACGAAGCTACCGAACTTAAGCACACTGCAGTGCAGTGAGACTGCCCTAGCCAGAGGACCATGTCCATGTTTGGTAGGGTTAAGGTATTACTCACACACAAGCATGTGATACCATGGACATGCGGTGTACTGTACATGTACATGCAGTATCAGCATGCAACAGTCATCATGGCTTACATGTACATGCAATGTCAATTACTCACAGGCTATTGCACTGATCGAGCTAGATACATGTAAATGCTTTTATGTATGTAGGAAGGAAGCTAAAATTTTTGTGAGAGCTAAAATCAAGACAAAATTGTTGTTTCAACAAAATTTGTTGAAATTGACCTCATGTACATGTATGCACAGTGCAGCAGACCTGTTTTACATACAAAAGTGTGAACATTCCTTTGTTTTCCTGTGATTAAGGAAACTTGAGGAAAATGCTGCTTTTTCTCCAACTAGGATAACTCCTTTGAGCTGGATTTTTGATGATGATTTCCTGGACTGTTCCTCTTCATTTTGCCACAGGTAACCTTGACCCCAAACTGTTTTTCAGAGAGGGGAAAACATTGTGTGGACGTGCGCGAGTCCACACAACACCATCGTACCCTGCATTACATGTATGTGGACTTCTTTGTGCAGAGGTCCACACTACATACATGTATGCCACGTCTGCACATGTATGTATGTACCGGTACGGGCCTATTAGTTAATTAAAAAGAATTTTAACACAGATGCTTCATGATGTATTGACAAAAAGATTCTTACATGGTATGAAAAGTGAATCAACTATTCAACTGAATGGGTTCGTCAGAATTCCAATGCTGGGTTTTTCCCCTTCTAATTAATTTCTGGACTGTTGATGAACAAACCTTACTTTCAAAACTACACAGTGGTTAGGGGGGGTTGCCTATAAAGGATGGTGTCAAGAACATTAATGATGCAATGAATCTACGCAGGTGTACCAGTGAGCGTTTTAATGACCTTTAATTAAAAAGAATGATCTTAAGAGTACGTGTACTGTATCCATTTGCAGTGAGTTCTTGCACTGTACGTGCACATTGCCTGATGTGCGATGCATATATGTTGGGAGCACACCTCTCAAGGTCAGGATCCGGGTCCATGATTACGACAAAATGGATGACCCCATCACATCAGAGTGGAACGAAAGACCAGGTGCTGGGTGGATATGCACCCGAATATTGTGAGGCAGGCTGTTCCAGCGAGGGATAGTCCAGGGGGAAAAAAGCTGTTTGCATGTACATTGAATGTAAGATGGTTTCGCTATGATGATGGGTGGTGTCGTCTTGTGCTTCTAGAGGCTTTACATAAATAGTCTCCCAATTTTTGTATCAACTCTATTGTGGCTAATTCCATACATCAGAGACACATGTAATCTGACAATCAGCCAGCAATCAATTTAAGGTCTTGTTTCAACAAGACATTCAGAGGGATGAGGGGTTCTATACTCCAGTATGTCAAATGATAGTGGACTGGTCACATGGGACCAGCATGCCACCTGCCATCATGCATCTGAAGTCATTCCCACTGGTCAGATTTGCGCATTCTCCGATGCACTGTACATTGACTACTGTGACAAAGACTGTGTATATTTCTCAGATCAATGGTGAGTGTACATACATGTACCTGTAGGCCTCTGTCATTCTGCAAACCTTATCTTGAAAATCAAAACCCTGTTCTCTTTCCACAAATTACCGGTAGGCCCAGTCCAAACCACACTGACCATTACCGGTAGGCCCAGTCCAAACCACACTGACCATTACCGGTAGGCCCAGTCCAAACCACACTGACCATTACCGGTAGGCCCAGTCCAAACCACACTGACCATTACCGGTAGGCCCAGTCCAAATCACACTGACCATTACCGGTAGGCCCAGTCCAAATCACACTGACCATTTATTTTCATTTTATTTTTATTTTATTTCCACCAAATCCAACGGCGACCAAGTTGCAAATTACAGTCGCCAATAATGTCCTAGTCACCAATTACAAGTCACCAATTACAATTCATTTTTCTTTCATTAAAGGCAACAACAGGTTGGATATGTCACAAGGTATGAACGTAGTCAATGTCAAAAATAAATAAAAAGGCAATCAGACAGGGTCAATGGGGCAAGGGGAGTTCTTAAACTATTATTGACAATATGAATGGGGCCCTAAACTCCATAGCAACTGAAAAAAGTATCAATATGTACAGTACAAAACTGCAGTGGAAATCACGTGGAAAAGTCATGTTTTCTTTGCAAACATTATTCCCAATTTCAGAAAATGAGGTTAGGCCTACAATGTATCATTAAAAAAAGTGATTTTAATAGGCAGAACTTGTAAAAGTCACTTCGGTCACTGAGCAACTACCAACAGGCGGTGTGAAGTTAGTTTACCTATTCCTCATTTGACCTTCGACATTCAGTGTTGAACAGGTAACTAATATTCAACGTTGAATAAGTAACCATTTGACAGGCAGGACGCACATCCCTAAGAGAGATGGAGTGCAAAAGGAACAAAAAACAAACTGTGCCAACTACATTTTAGGGCTTGTTTGACCCCGAAAAACCCCACGGGTTGCTAGGAGTTATCGCTGATTGAGGACAATAGTGATATCAGACTCAATGTAATCTCCAGGTTGGGCATGGGGTTTGGGTATTTTATTTCGATGTGAGGAAAGTGTGGTACGATGCATTCACTTTCCCACATGTACTCTGGTTTGCAAGCAAAGAACTCCACCGAAGAACCATTTTGACTGTGTAAAACTGCCCTTGCCCAAGTTGAAATGGAGGCAACAGGGTCGCTAAAGTGCACCGAAACACTTTGAAAATAAGTTTAGACCTGGGGCTTGGGACTGATGTATTATTTCAAATGAGTGAAATACAAGTAGTTTGAATGAAAACAGCAAGTGCCCCTTTTCCCCTCTGACAATTACAATGCTGTCAAACTGTCGCCCACATTTCGGGTCTTGCTTGATCCCAGAAAACCCTTTGCCCAGGGTTGCCTCTGTGGCAGAAAGTTGTGTTTGTACACATCATTGAGAAACGGCATGTACAATGTAAATACGCTACATCAATGGATGTGCATGGTGGCGCAGTTTTGTTGGGGGGTTTTTTGGTCCCTTTCGCACTCCATCATTTCTAGGGGTGTGCACCCTGAACGTCAAACCGTTAATCTATTAAATGTTGAAATTTCAAACGGTGACTTCATGTACTCGTTCAACATTGAATGTCAAACAAGGAACAAGGAACTACAAAGTTACTTCACATCAGTCAACTAACAACATGAACAAATCTTGTCAAACCACGAACCAGAAATATTGTGAAGTCAATATGTTATCCAACTCTTTTGATTTGAGTCTTGCTGTCGAATGTAATACTTTTATATTAACTTTTAAAGTTTTACTTTTCGTTTTTTAAAATTTGTGTCTGGCCTAAACATGATATAGGGGGCCTAGGCCTTAATCATGTGTTTATGGAAAGCGCATTTTGTTTACTGGCCTATGAAAAAGACTCGCCGAAGGGCTAGGGGCCGATAGAATAACGTCAGTGAATTATTTATTAATTCATTATTACAAAATCGTGTCATTTTTGTACTCACTTGTTGGGCAACTGGGTCCAATATGCTATGGATTGTCTTGGTGCGATAGGAAGTGGTAGGCATTGTTGCTCACTGAAGTGGTCCAACGGTAGCAGAATTGGTCTTGAATTTGGCTTTCAGACAACGCCCAGCCACGGCTCAAAAACCACATCAACCTCAGACTTTGGGCCGATGACAAGTCTATCAACAAAAGTTCTGTGTTTGTCAGTTACTGGCCAGTTTCAGGGTAAATGTCAACTGAATGTCTGAGTCCCCGGTAGTTGACATAAACCTTTTACAGAATCGGTTTCCGTGACTCAGACACCGTCAAGGTGAAAGTTTGGGAATTCTCTGCGGGCACCGGCAGTGATCGATCGACTGGATGGAATACCCTCATTTGGAATTCCTCGCATGCCGGGCCGCTCGCGGCGTGGTGGTCTTAATTCAAGGCGCAGGCGGCAATTAATACTTCGCGATACAGGCAGCCATCTACAGAGGGCGCTATTAACGCAATCCGGAGACATAAAAGTATCGACCTAAAATAAATGACCAGCTCTTCCGCCCAATTTATCACGGTTTTCAAACCACTGGTGATGTCTGTATTTCCTGGGATGCAGTAAAATCCTTTCTTTCCAAGCCTGTAACTATTACTGTGAAAGCAATGAACAGTGGTAATTCCCTCAATAAAAAACGAAGCAGTGTACACAGCTTGTGGTGGTGATGGGGGCGGGGCGAATTCAAAAGCAAATGCGGCTTCCACGATGTTGGGGAGAAAAAAAATCAAACTGAGCCTTACTCACGGTCCCGACATCCTCGCTTTTATTTGCAAGTGTTGTTTTCTTGAGGTTTTGGTGCTTTACCGATTACTTTCCTTTCTGCTCACCTTTGAAGTTCTATTTGTAAAATAAATAATACTAAAAATAGTCAGGCGGGCAAGACCCCCCCCGCCACCCATCCCCGCTGGATACGCCCCTGAATTAAAACTAGTCCTGATCCACAATGAAAATGACGGTATCCTTCAAACTCTGACACACCACGTAGGTAGGAAGAGATGAACAGATCGAGCTTTTGAACCATGATCTCACAGGTGGCGGCGGCTTCTGTCTCCTAGTATCATCCCCCGGCTTCTTGATCTTTTCTTAAAACTCGACATGCACAGGACACGGAAGTTGTGGGCGCGTCTGTGAAGTTTGTCATCTTTGAAGTTTGACACGCGCGTAGAACTTGAATCCGGATCAGTAGGAACGTAAGTCGAGTTCTAGAACTGTACTCGTCGGCCGGGGTGCGTCATGACAAATCGATAGGCTCCTCATCAAGGTTGTGTATTGTCCCCAGTGTTAGTTCCACTCTATAACAAGCGACACGTCTTAATGATATGCTGTTCTGGATTGGTTTCTTTATATGAATGATGATTCTTTTTATCACAAAGAGGTAGCTAACTTTGTTAAATGGTGTGACTTTAATTATTTGGCTCTGAATTATATCAAAAACTGAAGAAGTGCTCGACTTCCGCAAAACCAAACGTGACGTGGGATCAAACCTCTGTATATAAACAGCACTAAGGTTGGATAGGTCAATGACTAGCCAGAGGATTTTTTTCTGGAAGCTTAAATCATTCATGACCTGCATTTTATTTCTTTTTTTATCAAAGTGCTTTGAAATCAGTCATTACTCTCTGGTATGACAATGTCAGAGTCGTGGACAGTCACACGGTCTGGAACGTGTCATCTAGGTAGCTTCTAAAGTGACAGGCCGGTACCTCAAAGATCAGTTATCTCCAAGCTTCAAGACATAATGCAAGATTACAACCATCCGCTCCAGTTGTTCTCATCAAATTAGGAGGAGTACATAAGTGCTCCAGAATGTCATTCCTCATGCCTGCCTCTTATCAACTCTAAATTCAAAAGATAACCCCCTGTAAGGTTTTTACCTTTCTTTTTCATGATTTGCTGGCATTCACTTACTATTAACAAGAAAACAGGGTAAAAGTAAGAAAGAAAAAAATACACGTACTTTGAAACTTGTTTAGCCCTGACATTTTTTACTATAATCCCCCGATTTCTTCTTATTACATGGTTATTGTTGGATAACTGTAATTTTGATGTTCTGTAAATTTACTTTTCTATGTGTAAATATTTTTGTGTTCCATTGTATCACATCCTGCGCATGGGAAAACAAATTTCATGTTTTTTTTGACGTTATGATGAATTAAATTCAACTCTGCTTATAACTATTATTTTTTTGTCGACGCTTGGACTGCTCGCACCAGTAGGAGGCGCTGTTCATCAAATGGGATTACAGCGCGCGCAATGCAAGGATCGATCTAGTGCGTCCGCAGTGCCTCGAGGAACCGCATTGATGCACGAGAGCATAAATATCGACATCGAAATGGTACAGTCCGAATACAATTATGATAATAAACATTGGTCTTCTGCTAGCTGCTGCAGTGTTGACCGGCCGGTGTGTTAAAATTTTCCTTCTGGAGTTGAGCGAAGATTATACGATTCAGGAACGTCGATCGTGCCAAAATAATTCGTAGTCAGCCATGTCGGCAGCTCATCAGTGCCCTGTGTATTAAATCAGCTGCAGCATCGTGGCACCGATCTATCTGTCCTCAATTTGTAAACACGGAGCAAGGTAAGTCGCTCACAGGTGGGCTTAAAATAGAACCCTGGGCCTGGCATGCCTGGCTTGTTGTGTAACCCCCAAGTGACACGATGTAGGCCTATCATCATCATTTCATGGCACGGTTGATGTGGCATGGTCGACTGGCATGACTGGTGTCAATTTAGTTGGTACTTTGACCATGTTGACGGGTGGCAGTGACAAAGATTGAACGTGATGACTCCCGTGTCAATGAGGCTTTAATAAAGTGCAGGGCCATGATCTAGAGTATGATGAAGCTCTCACTCGGCTCTCACCAATGTGTTGGCTGTTGGAGGTTTGATTTCCAACCCAGCATGCCTAGGTGATATAGACGTTAGGCCCAATCCCCATTTTAGAATCAAGATTGGAAACAAATGACTAGGCATGAAAATGAAGAAGCAAACTTGTGCAGAATACGGAAAGAGTTCTATATATGTGTATGGGGACATCACTTGACACCCTGTGCAAAAACCCGATGATACTGGTCTGGAAAATTGTAAGTATTTTCTAAAATGCTTCAACATTTTCAAAGCTAAAATTGACATTTTAGGAAGCTATCACTTTCTGATTGCTACTAAACTATTGCAAGGGATAATCACAGAACACCCTGTCACTTGAAGTAATCCCTTCATGCCCTTCAGAATCTCTGGTTAAACTGATCATTGTGAATATTAATTGCCAATCTGAAAGTGCTTAATGTCAAGTTCTCTGCTCGGCAAGTTTGGTGAGAAGAGCTGGTCTTATACAGGGAGCCATATTATGAGTAATTATGCAGTAATGCAGATTGGCTGATCGCTTCCAACACCCACACTTGCAATCATGGCAATTTCCTTTCAGAGAAAAAAAGATTTTGAATTTGCCTTCATCAAAATAATTGTTAGCATCCCCATGGCAGTCTTAAGTTTTGGTCTTTTTATGACTAGTCAAAGAGTGTTGAATTTATATCTGGAAGAGCTGTTTAAATTTCAGTGCAACAATTTTTTTTGGCAGGATTTTCGGTGCTTTTGGGAAGAGTCATGTCTTCGATTTCCGGGTCAAGGCGTGGCAGTACTGTGAGTGAACATTCGCGGGCTCGATCAGTTCACATAGGGAGGACATCCAACTCAAAGTGGCTGATTCGCACAGGTATGTGTGTACTTTGTATGTACTTGTAGAATGTCTATAAAGGACCCCGAGGCTGCAGCATAAGTATGGACTGGGGATACCGGTCAGCAGGGTTCCCCCAGGGTACTGACCTGTGTGAGGTGGTCCAACAAATTTTGCCAAAATTCTTGTGCCGTAAACAAATTCTAGTGTTTATAAAAAGGCCTAAAATAATTTCTTTATACATATATAGTCTAATCCGCTCTGAGCGGAACAAAAGAGGGCGTGTTGTTTTGGTATCACCACACAGGCATGCCATAAGGTGCGCAAGTACATGTGTATGCGCGTTTGAGGCAGAGCACGCTGAGTACATGTAACTAATTGATTCGGGCATTGATGGTCTTTGCATGCATGCTGAACACATGCAAGAACCCGCTTGTAACCACCTGTCTTTCTTTGGCCAATTGGGTGCACTTCTGCTTGGGGCGGATAGTACATTTACTGTCTGAAATAAATTGATTGTGTACTCTGTGTCCATCTTTACCATTCTGAACGATTTAAAACTGATCCATTTCAAAAATCTAAATTATTTAGCTTTTTTCCTTCAATCTTTGTCACTTTCAAGTGTGAGGTGGTAAAATCCAACAGAAAAGTGTGAACAATTTTTAAATTGGCGTTACTACCATGGGGGAGGAAGTTGATGATTCCTTTATGGACGAAAAAAAAATCCCTTTTTTGTCCCCCTGGACGGAAAACCTGGATGCGTCGGTAGAGCTATGCGGTACATGTAATGTATATATCTTGTAAGGTTAAGAAATAATTAAAACCGGAGGGTGCATTAGTTGCATTAGTCTGTTGTCAATCAGTTGTGGAGGCTGGCATCTGATATGATGCTGATAAATTAGAAAGGCTCCCTGGTCACAGGGGCTGAACTTGCCTCCAGTTCAGTGATCCTAAACTTGCCTCCGGTTCAGTGATCCAGCTTCATTTGTTCACTGTGGCATACTGGAATATGATGCAACAACTCAATGATGCATTGGTGTGATGGAGTTACATGGATGCAGGGATGGCCATCACAGGGGCAGATCCAGGGTCAGGCCTTAGATTTTTTTGGGGGGGGGTCTGAGTTTTGCGGACGATCAGAAAGGATGATGAAACATAGTGTACAGACGAATCTGTGGGATGCTATCTGGTTTTTAAATTGACTTCTAGTTAATTTTTAGTATTTTTCCCTTTTCTGTAACTTTGTGCTTTTTTTGTCTCGGGGGATTAACCCCCCCTTCCCGAATCGGCATTTACCATCATGATGTAGAAAATTTACTGGTCTACCCAACGGGGCGTACATTTCAGGCAACAGAAGTCTAAACATGCAGACATTACATCTTGTGATTGAGAGCACAATTCAGAACACAATTTCTAATTTCCAAGAGTGATGAATTAATTAATGCAAATCACCTGCCAAATAAATAGTAATAGTTTGAAAACAGTTCCGATGATATTTCCTTGTCAAATAACAAAGGTCAGATGCACTTGTAACAGGGACACAAAAATGTCACACTTTTAGACCTCTAATTTCTGGAATTACCCAAGTACTGGTACAAGTAGACTGGAGATGTGTCTTACATCAGTACAAGGAAACGTGAAACCCATTACATGTGAAAACACCAAACAATCAAGACAGTCAAGATCTACACCTACGTTTTGTGCATAAATTTTTTTAAATATTAGTTAGACAAAAGTAAAGGTCAGTGAGGGTTACTCTACCCCCCCCATGAAATAAACTGACCATCTGGTGACAGTTGGACAATAAGTAATAACGGTCAGTGAGGATTAAACACCCCCATAAAAAAAACAAATTATACTGAAATTGGCCTGATACTGCCTTAACTTAACGATAATGTGTTGTGATAAAATTGAGCCGCTGGTATTCTGATGTACATACGTAGACCTTGAAAAGTGGCAGGAAGGCAGTGACCTCAGGTGTAAACTGTAATGAGGTTGGTGGGTGGGGAGAAGTCAAGACAAGACAGATGGCATTTTGGTGGTAAACCATTGACATGTGTTATTAGCCGAGCATAAATTAGCCTTGTGAACAAAGTGAACACGGATGGGTGCATCGGCAAACTTGCCGAGAGCTGGGAGCGTGGCATGCTTTTTATATTTTCAATATTTATGTTCAGTGGAAACTGCAAGCGTTTGCTGGTTTGTTACCGAGTTGAGATGATTTTGCTGAAATACGAGGACGGGGGTTTCACCCTCCTTAAATCGTAAGGCCTCTCTTGATAATGCTAGCGCGATGCTAACAAACATACATGTACATGTTTAGGTGTATTCTAGAACCTTCAGAAGAAACCATTAATGTCTGCTCTAAAAGGCACAAGTCCAATGTTTGTAAAATGTCATTGTCGACGTTGCAAGGTGAGCTTTAAGTGAATTGATTTTTTTGTCGAAGGTCAATCTGCATTTCCCATTAAACAAACAAGTGAAATGATGTACCTGTTCTTTGTACACAAGCGTACTGTATGAAGTACTTTATTGTATTTGTTTACATTTAATGATGTCCATGCATTTCACTTTATATTACCTTAGATTCGTGGAACCTTCCGCTTGGTATGCTCATGCACACATGTTTGAAATAGTTGAACGGCAGGCAGTGGTGCGATATGAAAGCCGCAGACGTTGAATATTTGTGCAGCTGTGAGGGGCTGTCTTTAGATTCCGTTCTGAAATGTCAGGGGGTTACGGGAAAGTAACCGGGCGGAGAGTCTTGGCGTCGGCAGCTGCAAGTGAACTTGGACGTCTTGCTCCTGAGGAATTTATGCAGATGAATACCCCTCCCTGACACATTGCACCGTGTGCTCGTGGGGGCCAGGGGAAAAGATATAACAAACACGTTTACAAGTACGTGCCAAGTGGTTCGTTTGTCAGGCTGACAACAAGCATTTTCTCAGGATAAATATACACGTGTCACTCAGAAGAAACGATAAATTGTTTTCTCATAAAAACTGCTATTTTATTAAGGACTTACTGGAGATAAATATTTGAACGGTTAAGCCACTCAGCTTAGGGGCCATGTTCAAAAGAGCTTAATCTTTTACGTGCAGCCCACAGTACCTTTTTGTCATTTTTTATGTATGAAGGTCAGCATGGACATAAATTAAAATGTTCTTGAGGCACATTTGCCGGTACATGTACACTGGAAATACAACATACAACATAAGGGGCACTGTTTGCAACTTTCACATTGACACTAAAAATTGTTACCTATTTACATTTAATACATACACCTGTAAAATCTTTGAACTATTTCAGGTTAACCTATAATTATTCTGCTCATTCTGATTATGCTGTATTCTATTTTACATGTAATTCATCAGTATGTAATTTCATTGGTTCCACATACCGTTAGATGTACGGTTCTTGCACGTATACCGGTACATGTTTGCATGTACATATACTTCACCAGTAAAAGTTCCAAAATTCTGTCAATTTTTTGTCTTTTTTTTTATAAGTACAAGCACTTGACCTCAGTCTGTAGTGTACATGTCAATTGATGTCTCGAGGATTTTTCCCATAAAGATGGCGCTGTCTTGTTGAGATGTATCGTTAGATTTAACCACATTCGCGTACCTGGTATGTACGGGAAGGAAATTCAAAAAGAACTAGGAAAGTGGGGAAATAATGACCAGTTTTGGACTTTTTCTCCTTTTAAAAAATGAAACATTTTGAAAAGTACATGTCCGTATGTACCTGCATACCCCAAAACCAAATAGAGCAGACTGTATTGATTAATACGGCTCATGTTTACTTTCCTTTAGAAGCAGTTCTTTATAGACATGCAGGTCATGGATTTTGATTGTGATATACTGTATAATTTAGAGAAAAACCAAAATTGGGGATGTGCGTACGATATGTGGTAATGGATCGTGTCGACCTTCATGAACATGTACATGCACCTGCGGTTTGCATAATTCAGTGCTCATTGGGTGAGTTAATGCGCTGTCGGGCTGTGATTGTTCTTCCACAATACATGTGAGAGTAGCTTGTTTCCGTTCCTGGACGTGTAAACAAAATGTGAGTTTTGCGATAGCAATCATTGCTGGTAGGTTGAAATAAACCTGGAGGACAAACAATTTTCAGTAGGGCTATAAAAAAAAAAGTTATGTTTCCCAAAGAAAAATTAGGGTGGTTGAAGTCTTGTTACATTTCTGCGAATTTTTTTTAGTGGGTGAAGGTTAACAAGCATCTGTCATTTGATACTTTTGATAGAATGTTTATCGGCACTGTCAAACAGTCTAGTCACTGATTGAGTGGATAAAAATATCCAAATTTAGAAAGCAGATTGTTGTGGTCAAGAACAGGCTGTGTTTTTTCAAATCAACCAGCTTGAAAGATTAAATAAAACACATTAAAACAAAATCCGGAATGATGTACATGTACTTAGCAAATATAGGTTGCCACCATATGGTTTTTATGACTTATTTGAATGAAATATCTTATGATTAAAATTTTGGGTTAGGTAGACGGAATCACTTTTTTCCCGAGGCTCTTTCTGTTTTTTTTGTTTTTAAGTCTGATTTTTGTTCTGAAGAAGCAGAAAGGAAACATGTCAGTTGAGTTAAGATGAACGAGGAATGTAGGCTGTAGAGATTAGTTTAATGGAATGAATGTGATTTCCCTATATTTAGAGAGCCAGATCAAGCTGATTGATTGCTCTCGTTGATTGCAGTTGCCGAGTTTTGCCAGCAGATTGCCGTCATCTATGAGCACTTTGCCATCAACCTGCAGTCACTGGTGGAATCCTTCAAGGAGCAGACGCTCAGCAAAGATGGGTGAGATTTATTAATAACGAGAGACATGCAGCGGAGCGGTCCCTTGCTACGTACCTGCTGACAGGCGCGCAGTAATGGGCTGATGTGACCTGCCCTGATACCACACACTTAACAGGACAGACTGTAACGTGCTTGGGAGGTGGGACTGTGGGCCTTTTTTTTTTTCAACATAACCCACATTAAAGCAGTTTTCTAAGTACGCCCTTCTGCCAGGTACTGGTAGCCGACGACGATGGATCCACAACCAAATTTTGGGGGGGGGCAAACTTGTTTTTGGGGGGCTCGAAGACTTGGAAAATTTTTCAAGTTACCTTTCATGGTCTTTCTGAGGGATGAGGCTACGTGATTTATTGGACTTTTAAACATTTTGGAAGGAAAGGAGTAAAATAGCTTTCTAAAAAAAAGTCTTTTGCTTCTTTTTTTCCGGGGGGGGGGCAATGGCTCCTGTTGACCACCACCCTCCCAATTTTTTGCCTTGGTCCAAGACAGTGTATTTCGTGTGCGATACTGGTTTGCTGTAGGCGAAAAAGGAAAAAAAAGTGAGAGCTAATTATAGAGTGAAGCGAATATTAATTTGCTGTGGAGACTGTGAGAGGTTTTGCTCTCTGTGTGCCGTGGCAGCGAGTGCTGTTATAGATCAATCCAGATGTTCCGATTGTGACATCTTCAGCTTGTCCCAACCCTGTTCATTGTGTGAGGTTAACACATTGAAAAACTTACGTCAGTCAAATTTCCTTTACATTGTGATTGCGTCAAAGGCCTGCTGATGAGACTTTGTGTAATCAATCAGATCCGGGAGACATCGCTTCCGAACATGCGGTATGAATTGAAAGAGACCGACACACATGCTAGCGAAACACATGCATTTTTTTTTACGTTGAAGAATTTTGAGCATCTTAAATGGCTGGGAACAGGATTGTTTGAGATCACACCTTCACCGACGGATTGGTTGTTAAATTGAGACCAGTTGTTTTGATGTACATGCACCTGTACTGGTTCATACGGACTGCAAACAAGACAACAAGACAAGTTTAGCGAGCTTTTTAAGTGGAGCTACGGTGCATTAACATGACTAGATGGTCCATGTACATGTGTGCCAGTTGAAAGTCTGGTGTGAAATCTATTATTTTGCATTGTATGTTGCTACCTTTTACTGCCAAATCACTGTGAACAACCTGATCCCTGAAAAAACACAATGATGTACCACTTCCCCCCTACCTTGAGCCAACAGCTTGGTTGTGTTTTCAACACATTAAGAAGGATTGAATGTCTGTAAAACGCTCTTACATGTACCATTGATTTTTTTTGTTTAAGCTCTTCCTGAAAATCTGGTCACTTCACCAGCTGTTGCCAGCATGGCACTGTTTAGTTATTGAGAAATCTGTGAAAAGGTCCCTCACTTAATTCTCTGGTGCCAGTGGGGCACAGTTAAGTGTTATTAAAACTCCTTAAACAAATCCCTTGTGGGGCGAGCCCTGGGTAAACAGTTCTGAAATAACCCAGAGGGATTCATCTCGGTAGGAGGCGGTACATTGAATTTAAAGGCAATATCAAGAATATGTTTATAGTGAATGTGTGAGTCAAGGTATGTGTAGATGCGTGTATCTGGCGCATTCCATGAGGTTGGGGCCTAATGTGTGACAGTGTCAATTGTTACACGGTTGGGTAAAAATAAACAGCTATTTCCCTGCATGTGGATTCCAAATTGACATTGTTATACACCTTGTAAGGCTGAATACAGAGGTACATAGTGTTATTTTTACAGAGTAAATGACTTACATGTACTCTACAGGTCATGACAGGTGGTAAAAGTTTTGGACGTAACAAGGACAATCTCACAAATTGTGCCTCAACCTCGTGGAATGACCTGTCTGTTATGTACATGTACTAAAATGTTGGTCCACAGCACTCCTGTACCTCATTTCATTTCCATATAATATAAAGAGATAACGATGGTACATACGAGTATTTAGTTGATGGATGGATATCCCAAGAAGCATCGTTTGTCGAATGGAAGCTCCATAGACACTTTCAACATCATTACAGGAACTTTAGGCAAATGTTATTACCAATAAACTAGAAAAAAATAAAGTACACATACCTGTAATGTAAAATGATATGCAAACAACGACATGTAGGCTGTAACCCTGTGATATATAACTTCATTGTTACCGCCAGGGTTAGCAACATACCGGTAGTTCTGATTGTCATTTTTTATGCAGATATTGTCTTCTTTATTTAGTTGTTTATGCCATTCTTTTCCCAGGATGTGTGGCTATCGTTGGTTTGAATCCGCTTGGGAGGACCTTCTAGAACAGTATGCTGTCGTCTCGTCGGTACGTCACTTTGAAAATGCAGCTTTTACTTTATTTACAGGGATTATAAAAGGGATGTGAATTCATGTCGTTGTAAGGTTTACATGTATATGTACTGCACAAGACATATGTGCCTATGGTCAAGAAATTGTGTACATCAGACGGCCCTAAAATAAATGACAAAGTTATTCTTGTCTATTTGTTGTACAAGACAAGTGGAACAGTAACCATTGTTAAACTTCCTTGGCTGTGATAAAGTACATGTAGATGTTTGCAAATATTGATTTAAGGCTTAGCAACAGTGTTTTTTTTCTTTATTGAAAAAAATTGAGATGCCGGCAGATTATGTAAAATTCTACTCAGTCTTTGGTTACTTTAAGTGTACTTGTAATTTGCTTTATTTTTGTGTTTTTTGCCACAATAGTAGAACTCATAAAAGCTCATAAAAGGTCATATTTATCAGATTAAATTAAACCTTTCATACCCAGCCCCATTTATGGAATTTGAGTTTTCAAACAATTGGAAAAATGTGTTTTGAGACATGAAAGCATGTGCAGATCATCATGCAAATATTTTTATCCGTGACTCAGCTGAGAACGTGCATTCTTTCCTCCCCCCACCAGGATTACTTTGATCTGGCCCACAACCTTGAGTGCGGCGTCACCAACTCACTACAGGAGGCCGCTGTTCACAAGCACGCCTTCCTGGACGACGTCGTCCATCACCGCGACAGCCTACGGCAAGAGATGAAATCCAAGGACTCCAATCTGCTGAAGGTAAAGTTGATGGGCGCAGGATAACTAGGCAATTACTGGAGTTGGCTCGCGTCATTGCACATGTACCTACACGTACGCATACATATTACCATACGTGGCTGACCACCGCTGGGATTATGGATTAATCGATTTTCAGACTGGGAAGGAAAATCCTAAGTGCAGATTGATGGTAAATAGGTAAAACCAAAGAGCGGAAGACTGCCCTGTTGGGAGCTGTTAATTTTAGATCATGTAATTGGTAGATCGCGATTATGGACATGCACTTGAGTTTGACTGTGATAATAATTTTCATAATTTGGTTTGTGTAATTGTCCATAAGATCATCAGCAATGCACTACACGCAAAAAACTGCATCAGACAAAACGTAACCAACAAGAGATCAAATTAAGATAAGTCAGGCTTAGCATAATCAGGTAGAAAACTTGACCTACAGTTTAACTACATGCAAACTGCAGGGGCCAATTTCATAGAGCTGCTTAAACACAGAACTGGCTGAAGCACAAAAAAACCTAGCTTAACAAACAATGGTTATCAGCTCAAACTCTATCTGATTGTCATTCTAACCAAAAGACAGGTAAAACCATTCCAAAACAATAAACACCACAAGAAGTTTTGGCCGGTAACCTGATTTGTCAAGCAAGGTTTTTTTTCACGTTAAAACAAATTTTTCACTTAGGCAGCTCTATGAAATTGTCCCCTGTACTTAAAAGTCTAGAACATAATAGAATTACATGTAAAAAAAAGAGCTGCCGCATTAACTTGAAGGCCAATGGCAAAAAGAGGCCCTAATTTACTTTGCAAATTGTCCTAGCTACATACATGTACGTGTACGTGTTTGTATTTTATGTTTTTGTGACCATGAGTTTTTGAAATTGCTGACATTCATTCAGTGCACAACAAAACGTGATAGTAATTCTCGTCCTGAATCGGTTTTAATCTGATATGATTTAAATTGCCGATAGCTTAATTTATGCGCACAACAAAACGTGATTCTAATTCTCGTACTGAATCCGTTTTAATCTGATATGATTTAAATTGCTGATGGCTTAATTTATGTCATTAAAGGGCCATTAATTTTGCTTGAACTTCAGCCTTATGCACCTGTTACTTTTATCACTGACATTGAACCTTAAAGAATGCTGTCAGAATCAATATATCAGCCTTTGGGGTCAGAGACGTCTTACCCGCCCCTTCAGTTGATTAGTCAAACTGTTTTTTTTTTTTCCTTTTTTTGTGATTTACAGTACTGCAAGAATTTGTTTTCAGTTTTGTTTTCATTTTTGTGATATCATGGGATGTTCTGCATTGCTGTGCTTTTAATTTGTACATGTAATTCTGTTGTCTCTTCACCAGAGTCAGAAACGTCTCCTTGGAGAGTAAACACAAGAAAGGCTTATTTTTGGTCACTTTTCTTTGATGAATTATTTTTTTTTAATATGGCATCCCAACTGAAACTAACAGACAAGTCAATTTTGGTAGCTTTGTTATAAACCCGTTCATTGCAAAGGGTAAAAGCTTGAAGGTAAAAGAAGTGAGTTGAGACTTATTCTTGCCCAGTGAGTCACGTTTATTCCCCTCCCCATGGTTCCCATTCTCCTAGGCCAGGAAGAGAGTTGACCAATCTTAAACTTGAAGACACTTTATTACTAGTTCATTTGAGGTGCATTTAACATTTTCAAGTGGAGATTTCTAGCGACTCCGGTGCAGTTTAAGTACATGTAGATACCCTGCTGCTTCTTCTCAAAGTCCCACGAGGTGGTACTTGCATTGTCTGGTCCATTATTGATACACGGAGGTAGAGTCAATTTATCATGGCTTCACATGAGGTCATCAGTGCTCATGTATGCATTAGAGAGAAAAAATAAATGCAACAAAAGTGTCACTTTAAGCTAAGGGGGCAGCTAAAGGTACCGGTATCTTAATGATGTTAGTCTTCATGTGTAACAGACAGAGAAGGAGTACGCTGAAGCTTGGAAGAAGATGGCTCAGGATGGCAACGGAAACATTAAGGTACGCTACCGACATCAAAGCTCCACTCTTATTCACGATTAATCCACCCACGCAGTTTCAGGTTTCTGCAATTTCACTGATGAAACTGTCTATATTTCAGGGCGTCAGCTCGAATGGTAATGTGTCCTACAGTTTTGCTGAAAGTTAAAATTATGATGGCAATTGTCTGCCCAGCACGTGATCTTTTTTCTTGCAAATGAAGCTGATGATGATATGTTGTATTTTAGAACATTTCTTGAAGAAGGTAATTTATTTAAAATTCTCAATGAACGAGTCAGCCATATTGAAATTGAAAGTTAGGTTACATGTAACTCTTCATTTTTTAAAGATCAGAGTAGAAAAGAAACTCATGAAATTTCACATCAAATTAGTACCAGGGCCCAATTTCGTGGCACTGCTTACCACTGAATTCCTCTCTGCTCTAACCGCACTAGCAGAAAAATTCTGCGCCGACCTTTTAAGCACAGACTCCTTAGTTGCGGGATGTACCGGTACGCAAGCACACAAGCCAAAATTCTTCGCTGACCCGTGAAATATGTTCGCCGTAATCACAGAATTTCCTGCCACGGTAACCACCAATTTTTCACTTGTGCCAGTGAAATTAGGCCCTGATGAATAATTACAAATTTTTGTACCTTAGTGTGTAAAGCCACATTATAAAAATATTGAAAGGGAGGCTTGGAATACACACAGTCTGGAGCCATCCTAAAGAACAGTTCACAAATGATCAAAGGGATTCAGGGGATAAGATCGAAATGGCTGTCACACAGGTCTATTGTTTTATTTCCAGAGTCCCAACACAGCGTTATGTTACAACAAGCACAATGGTTATGTGCTAGAATTGGCCGGTCTCAACAAGTTCAACGAGAGCGTACATGCCACAGTCTTGCCATCATTAAGCAGGGTGAATATATGCTTAGCGTGTTTGCTTTGCTAGGTTTCTTCGCGGATAGCACAATATACCCAAACTATTTCCAGTTCGTGAAGAACAGAAACCTGTGATCAGTAAGACTAGAAAGATATTCTCTAAGCACAAATCACTTCATGCTGGCCAAAGTTCATGCAGTATGGACTATTTTGTCTCGTCGTAAATTTTTTAATTTCTTTGTGAATTGTTACCATATACATATCAGATTTAATTGAAAATTTAAAAAGCAGGTGCAGTATGAAAGGATAAAACAATCATATTTTAGTATTTATGTGCTGATTAAATAAACATTAACATAGCGGTGGCATTTCAGAAGATGTGAATATTGATAACTTGTAATAGTATGTTAATGTTTCATTGACGTCATGTTTATTGCAAGGAAATTGAGCGAGTCCACAGCGAGATTGCCGATCTTGTCATCCAGGGGCTCATCAAACATGCGCAGCTGACGAAGTCAAAGGTAAAGATGGCTGTCGGAAGGGTTTTTTTTTTCTTAATCTCATCTTTGATCTTCTCCGTCTCAGGCTTTGTCTCGGACATCAGAACTGCTTGCAGGAAAGCAGTGTTCCAACTAAATGAAAATACTTCTATGTGGCATTCAGGCTGAAAACATGGCTACAGTTTGAAGCCTCTCCAGTTAAACATTTATTTTTTGTGGTTGAAACTCTTTCATGGGGTAATGAGTCTGTGAGAAATCTCAGAATATTTGACAGTATGTCTGCAGTAACTTGACATCTGTCACGGCTTATTTCAATCACTTGTATTGACAAGAAACTTTAGGTTTTTATGGTCAGCTTGTGATAAACCATCACTAGCAATTCCTATGCATGTCATGGGAATTGAGCAGGACCAGGAGAAGGTGCCATTTTCCAAGAAACAGAAGCTCCTTTGGTAGGAACTTCACATAACTGGTTCACAAGCAGCTATGATGTGCATGCGTTACGGTCACGTCACTACTAACAAAACAAACACTCCTGACCAGCATGGCTCTTTTCAACCAACGAAGGGGTGCTTCTGCTCAAGGGGGATACCTTATGATCACTTTACAATTGTTCTTTCAGCTTAGTGTGCACGGTAATCACATGGATGCAGTGGTCCGTGCACTGCAAGACATTGAGGTGTCAGGCGAATCCGTGCATTCACCATCCGAGAAGGAACCGAGGCGTTACAGTTTTGTCAAACCGGATCACAGTGCATCTAGGGTAAGCCTGTTCTGTTAACATTTGTGGCTGCATCCCACAGGAGATCATATTTTTAGTAATTCCGTTAAGGCCGGCTCATACTCTGAGAGTGAACACAAATGTAAACAGATCAAGTTTTTATGCTGTGACTGCGCAAAAGTTGAACACATTGTGATTCAAGCAAATTTGGCTGCAAGTATTTTGCGATGTCAGACTCGCGTGACAGAGTATGAACCGGCCTTTATTTTGCACAAGAAAAGAGCAAAATGAGTTCTATGTTTTGATGTATCGCCCACGTTGACATCCTCGCGAAAATGAACATTTGTTGAGGGTTCGGATTAATTACACGGTGGACGATTCTCTCGAAGGCCTTTCATTAAAAACTCGCTCTGGCCACTTGTGACCCATTTTGTTAGGTTGGATCACATTTACAATTTATGTTCCTGAAAGCTTCAGCATGGTAGATTCTTCAGTCGTATAAGTGAGTGGATCCGGACTTGTGCACACGTTTGGGTTTTCTCCTCTCCTCTAGGACTTTGTTGAGACCAAGCTAGTGATGAATTTAGCCACAGGGAGGGTGCTGCGTGACAAACATGAGACTCTGGTCAGGGAGGTAAGGAAATGGATACTTTTACCGTAAGAGTCCTCAATCCTCTAATTTCAATATGATTTTGCATACATCGGAGGGAGTTAGGATCAATCTTATCTGCTTATTTACTGCCTTGAAAATATTGACAAACAGTTATAATGACTGGTAACGGCTCCATTTCAGTCTCATGTAATCAATTTTGCCAAGATATTTTTGGTTACTCAGTCTTGTTTTTGTATCTTTAAATCTCCTACTAACACAAGTCACAGGCCGTCTAAAATTCCTCCCATGTGTCTTGCATCGATACATAAATGTGATGTATAAAGGTCATTTGATTGATCTTGACCAATAGGATGACTTTGTGCAGAATGCATCTTTGGATCGGAATGTTAAAGATGTTGTGTTGTAGTCGAGACCTTTGCAAGACCAGACAGAAGACCATGCATAAGACCAGTCACAAGACCAGACACAAGACCAGACACAAGACCAATCACAAGACCAATCACAAGACCAGGCAGAAGACCAGTCACAAGACCAATCACTAGACCAGGCAGAAGACCATGCGTAAGACCAGTATCAAGTAGCAGGGTGAACGATGACAAAGGAATGCTTTTGTTGCAGTTCATTTGAATAGCTTGTGACTTGAATTCAGACTGAAGGTCTTGTGTTGGTCTTGAGGGGTTGTGTGAAGGCCTTAAGTGGCTTCGACTACAACCCTGTTAAGATGCGAAAAGATTTCCATTCAATGCATGTTGAGAGTTGACAGTTATGCCTTGTTGGTTTAGAGTGTGTTGTGGCCGTACATTTCTGTCTTCTTAAAGCTACTTATCCAGTCATGGAACCAATTACAGCTTTTAATTTTAAACACAGTAAAGAATAATTTTGCTTCACTCTGCAGGTGAATGATTTGGAGAGAAGAATAAACACGGAAAAGGAAATCTTGATGAAACTGACTAAGCAGCATGACAAGTAATTACCACCTGCACAATCTCAGACAAATTTAACTTACCCTCACCATAATATTGAAATTAATTCCCACCACCTGGGCAACCAGGATGAAACATACCAGCCAAACTGTCGTACTCCTTCCTGAGGTCAGGCATCACCGCATAATTGACCAGAATTTTAAATGAACTGAGGTCTCATTCATTTAAATACCTTTTAATCTATTGTGTGGTATTACCTGACCTCAAGAAGGAGTACAACTGGTTAGCAGGTCTGGAAAAATATACTTCAACTCAAAGATGAAACTCCATCTCACATTTATGAGAAGTGATTTTTTCCCCCGTGTGTCTTTTTATAGTTTTCACGTATGTAGTCAGCACCTGTCCCTAAAACAGTGCTAACATTACAATGAAACAAAATAATTAAAATCCACAGAAATATGGCAGTATGCCATACAACGTTAGTTTTACCAAGGGAGTAAATATAAGCTTTGCCCGTTGTAAACTTGCGTTTATGACCTGCTCCGGAGAATGAACGCGACCAATGCCTGAGCCGCATTCATAAATACTGTTGTAGTCAGAGAGCCAATAGAAGTCAGTATATGTGATAAATTTCCAAGGATTTCGTTCAATAATTTTACTTTCAGTTTCCTGAATGCCCCCATCCATTTTATGGTATATTCCTTGTGTAAGTAGTCCAGAACAATCTCCTAATATGGGCTTGGTGCACATAAGACAAGTTCTGCTCGCTGAGTCGCACACGGACTCGTGACCGATATGCATGGATTAAACTGTCTCGTCTCCAGGTACCGGTTCTTTTTTACACAGCAGGCATTATTAAATCTCAGCAGGTGTTATCAAATGTTAATACACGGTCAAGTTGCACGTCGTTGAATAGGGAAACAGTCTGAGGTACTTCAAGTAGTATTCGTGGGTTATCTTAAGCCTCAATTACTCATTTAATTCTGTAGTATCAGAGCTAACCAGCAGCATGCCAAGGCAGCCGAGTTTCTGAAAAAGATTGCCAACCACAAGTACGACTTGCAACGAAGTGAAGTGTTTCTGGAAAGCAAACGAGCACAGGTTTGTACTGATGATCATCGTAATCAATAAAGCCAGTTAGAGCATGTGTGACGGTGTTACTTCACAGGATGAGATGTTTCTGATGTCGGAAGACCGTTCAATAAACTTATAAGAGTTGACCTTGGTGATGTACATTCTCGGTACAAAAAACAGGAACACTAGTCACAACTTGCTAACCGGTTTGAGACAGATGTCAAAATAAAGGTTGATTTACCGTGTTTAATTATAGAGGGCTCACTTCAGTTAGTGGACACACTTGTGGGAGAAATGTCTAATCCCGATTAAACTCAGGTGAATGCGATCTTTTTGCTGTATCAGCTACAACTATTTACTCGGGACATTTTGAGCTGGAAGCTCAGCAACGGCCATGCTGTGATGCCTGGCAACGGCGAACACTCTGGACAATCGTCGGTGTCCTCGGAAGCCAAGGATTCATTCTCAGACTTGCTGGACAACGGCAGGAGAGTGCATTGTTTCCAGGAGTACAACTTTAAGAAGCCGACATTTTGTGATAATTGCAGAGGACTCCTGAAAGGTTAGTGACAAATAAAAGGCAGTGAGGATTTCCTTAGGGCTGACTCAATTCCAATAATTCACTATTTGAATATTCGACCTTCAGTTTGATGGAATATCCGAATATTCGGTCGCACTGAGCGGCAGATTGTTGATGAAAATGCCAATATACAAAATCAGTTGCAATAACACACACAATTGTACATTATGATCAATGTAATAGCTTGTCGCATCTAGGAATATCTCCAGCCACGATTTAGCAAGATTGAAGAGATGAACAACACTTCTTGTCCTGTTGAAAATTTCTACTCCTTTAAATTGTTTAGTGAACAATTTACATTTTAAATCGTAGGATTTCTGACATCTTTCATTTGAAACTACTTGAAACAAGCCTCCATCATGCAATTTTTCTCATTTAAAACAAAAGAAAAATTTCCTTTTCTTTTCATGAAATTTGCATTTGAATATTCAAATTCGGAAAATAATATTTGAATATTCGAAAATGGATCGAATATTTAGTTATTCGGATATTTGACACAGCCCTATCGTTCCTTTGCTCGGAATATTCCTTCTCATCAGGCATGCAACTGTTCTTTGGTTCAAATGATTTCCTATTTTTATGTTGCATTTTTGACAACTTCAGATGTACTGAAGACCATTACAAGTTGAAAAAAAACTGTTCCATGTACTTGGACTTTTCTCATTGTTTCCTTCCTAGCTGCTGTTCAATGCCTGCTTTCTAAATCATCCAAAATGTACTTTTTCCCCCCTCGTTGTGTTGGAACGTATTGTCCCAATTGCAGTTTTTTTCTCCAACAGTGACTTCCGTGTGCTGTTGCTGCCAATATTTTTATCTCGTTGAAAAGAACAAAAGGCTGAATGTCGGGCAACAAGACAAGTGCTCGGATCTACAAAAACTGATCCTACATCCCCCCCCAAAGAAATTTCAAACATCCTGGTAAATTCTGTAAGATCGAGGAGGGCTGTTTGTTGGCAAGATTTAAAGTGTCACGAGTCTTGTTGATTTGTCTCGTAGGAATACTGAAGCAAGGTCTCCGATGCAAGTTGTGCAAAGCCAACGTGCACCACAGGTGCCAAGACGGCATACCTGCATGCAAAGGAGGCATGGTAAGTCAGTGTCGTCATGTCGGGATAACTTGTTAAAGAGCCCCTCTAAGGAAAACATGTTTTCTCTGATTCCATCTGGAAGCATCCAAATTGAGCGCAGTGTCATTTTATCTTCAGAGCTCTACTATAACAAGCTTAAAAGGGCTTTTTTCCTGTTCAGGCCAAGATGCGAATTCTGAATGTGCAATGTAGATTGCATAATTCTGAGAAAACAGAGGAAATGATGGGAACCCTCGCCCCGTGTTCATTCAGGATAAACCCTGTGTGTGCCAAATAAAGCATGTGGCCATTGTTTGGCATGTACACCGGTTTATCCATTACGAACACAGGACGAGGGTTCCTGCTTTGAAAAAAAGAATGGAAAAACCAGAGAGAAGAAAAGATTAGGAAAACAAACACAAGCTAGAAAGAGTCGGAAACTAATTGCATGGGTTTCTCATAATTAGCAGCACAGATGTCCACAGAATCACGGCATATTATTATCAGCAAGCCCTTTTATTTTTTATCAGTAATGATTTCAAGCATCACCTTTAATTTTTACTCACTTTGATCTCATTCAGGAGAAACCCAACAGAGTGTTTCGCCGGCAAGCAAGCGTTCGTGACATCAAACCACTAGTATGCAGGTTTTTCCTTTTTCCCTCAATTTTTTTTTTGAGTGTGCAAATTTGTTGATTTTCTTACATTCTGACAGAAATGCTACTTCAAAATTGCTTGCCAAAATGGTCAAGGTTTAGTAATGGAAACTCGTACCAAGGCCTTTATAATGTTGATGAATTTCTTTCATTCATTTTCTTTCTTGGCAAGGTTGACAAGAAAAAGCTCTTACGTCGCCAGAAAAGTTCTTCCGAGCTGGAGATTCCCAGACAGTATGACTCCAGTGAGTGTTAGCTACTTCAAGTGATTTTGTTTAGCATTTAGTGCATATCATGAATGGAAAATAAGAAATCTGTTTGACTCGGAAAGAATCAGGCTAAGAACTAATCAATCATGCAAGGTTAACCTCGGAACTCATTAGTTTGAGTTACACAAGCTAAATGTTCAACCCTGGTTCCATTTCATTGGTTTTATTTTCCAAAGGTGTTATTGAGTTCTATATATACATTAGAATTTGAAAGAAATAGGGAAAATTGCTTTCGATGTGGCAGAGTGCCCTCCATCGTTCATGCTCATCAGACCCCACTGATGTCTAGATTCCTGAAGCTGGTTCAGGGACAAGTCCGTGTATTACTGTAATCATTCTTATCAGATGTGGATCCAGTCTATGAAGCTATCAAGTGCGCTGCTAGTCTCTCCAATGCCAGTAGTAGCTCCTACATCGATACGTCTCCCCGTCCCAGCCTGGTATCCAACACCTCGGCGACCACAGCTCACCAGTCGGGTTCCTCTCTCAGCGGCTCTCATTCCAGTGGAAGCACCAACTCCCTGTTTCCAGAAAGTCGGGATCTAGACAAGTCTAAATCGGCTCCACACAGGTGTGTTCTTAGTTCAGTGGGGTTCAGAGTTGGCAGAATGGATAAGTGTACTTTGGAAATGTGCAGTACATAGAGGAGGAACCTTAAGGGGTTTCTCTGCTGATGTCTTATGGTCATTAGGCACCAATTTTTGTGAAATCATAACAACCATTCTTGCAAAGTGTTCATATTTCCTAGACAGGTAGACTTTGGTAGATAGTGATAGAATTGAATTGATTGAAATGAAATTCAAATTTCGCATGTGTTCATATCTGGTGTCATGCTGAGCATGCCAAGTTTCAAGCAGATTTGCCCTTTGACAGCTAAGATCTTTTGAGGTGGATGGAACCTTCACCCATTCTGGAAATCAAGGGACTGAGGAATGTAATCAGCTTCTCTTGATTGTCTTGATTTCCACAGTCCGAGTTCAACATCCACTAGACGTAAGATACTGGAGACGTACGGCAAGAGCATGTCCTTGGACACAGAACCTTGTAAGTCACATGTCCTCTTAACACTTGATTACATTGAGAGAAAATCTTTGCATTTTTGTCTGGCACCTGGCAAAAACAGTGGCTTGACCAATCAGAATTCGGCTGTTGCTCATGAATATGTATGAGGCGTAGTAAATGTGGCATTCCATTTTCTCCAGCCCTTCGGCAGCAGCATACACACGGGAGGAACAGTGAGCCTTCTGTCAGGGTGAGATAGCATGCACTGTGGGTGGTCATCATAGTCCCATCATTTGGAAGTAGTTTTGTTTGCCTTTCACGCTTGGCAGTATTACGTTCGCAGTACACAAATCATGAATATTTATGAGTGCTATGGTTAGAAGAATTTCAGGAGGTGACAAATGAACTGTTTGATTCCATCAGGCCAATCAAATGATTGTATCCCAAAAGTTCTTATTAATATTTACAGTCCTTCATCTTTCCGCAGAAGATTGAGGACTGGTAGGACAAAGGGAACAAATTTTTAATTGGATAGTAATTTGTGAAATCGGGAAGATCAATGCAGATGTGCCAGATCGCGAAGTTGTAACTCTCGAATTGGAGCATGAATGAAGTAAGCTTTCCTAGGAGCACTGTAGAGTATTCGCTTTGCTTGTCTCTGTGCCGACACGTAGTCGCTTACTACTTTCGATCATTTTGTACTTGGTCGAATGCTTTAGTTGCACGCAAGATATTCACCAGTGCATCCTTTAGTAGGCTGCCTGAGCCGTCCAGTAGTCCGGCCACGACGCCGTGGTCGAGTTTCGTTTGCTGACCAGGTGGGCATGATGACCAGTGTTGTTGTACGGTGCAGTGGTGCATGCATATGTGCTCGTTCTCTTCCTGTTCACCCTTGTTCGAAGTGTGCATCACCCCACAAGTAACATTGGATTGTTTTTAGTTCAGGTCATTGAAAAGCACATGTATATGAAGATAAGGCCAGTTCCAGACTCAATATTTTAGGGGTGGGCCGAAGCAAATAAAGCAGTGTCCCCGGTGCACTTCTGCATTAACTGATCCCACCAGCCACTATTAAGAAGCTGCTCAGAAACAGTTTCTCAAACAAAATGGCGCTGTCTGTACAAAACAACCTCCATTTAAGACGTTTAATATCTTCACTCAGATTGATTAGAAAAAAATCCACATTGGTTTTTGGGGGACCCTGTCTCCCCCCCCTGATCTACCCTTCCCCCGGATCTACCCTT